ATAAATAAATAAATAAATAAATAAATAAATAAATAAAATGTTTAGCTGAGATATAATGTAAGAGATATATGAAGAGTAGCAAGACTGCCCTGAATTAGTTGTTTACAACCTAGGTGAGTATTGAAATGATCTGGGGAGCTTTTAAGATTACTGATATCTCTACCTATCACCCAGAAATTCTGATTTAATTTGTTTGAAATGCAGCCTGGACATGAGATTTTTAAAAAACTCTCCAGATGATTCTAAACTAAAACCAGTATTAAGAACCACTAGTGTTAAAGTCTATTTGCAGTTTATCTGTTCTTAACTAAGACTAAACATTGGCATCAACAGGTGCATTTAAAAATATACAGCTTCCCAGACTCTATTCCCACACATTCAAATTACTCAATTTGGGATGGAACCAGGGCATTGTTTTGTTGTTGTTGTTCCCTATGTCATGATTTTGATATGGAGTCAATGCTAAATACTATTGCTCAGGAATCAAGATAGTTACCATGGCAGCATGAAAAGGGACATAATGTCGTATTTTTGTTTTTCTGATGACACACAATGACCCCCACCTGCTAGAAGAGCTCAGTGTCACAAATTTAGTTTTATAATTAATGTAAGTAAATTAGTTTTATATTAAAAATTACTCAAAGTGGGGCGCCTGGGTAGCTCAGTCAGTTAAGCCAGGGACTGATTTCCTCTCAGGTCGTGATTTCACCATGTGTGAGCTCAAGTACCCCATCGCGCTCCACGCTAACAGTGGGGAGGATTCTCTCTCTTCCTTTCTGTTCTTCCACTGTTTGTGCTATCTTTCAAAATAAATAAATAAACTTAAAAAACAATTACTCATGGTAACGGTTATAGCATTTTAGGGTATACTGGGAAAATTGCGGTACTAGATACTCTGCCACTGAGTGGTTTTAAATTTGTTCTTCCTGCAACTTTTGTCCAAATAAGTCATTGTACTTCTCTGAGTCAGAGACAGAATTTTCAGTTGTTCTGAGAAAGTCTTTGTTGGCATAGTGTTACCATATTGGCTATATTGAAAGCGACTTTGGGTCATTTCTATTAATACCCAGCTGTGAAGCAGTGGACAAATCTTGGATGTACGCAGAATGCATTAAAAGAAAAGCACAACCTCATAAATTTCTCCATATAATACATAGAAATGAGAATGATCCCTTTTGAATTTATAACAGGAGGAAAGGTATAAATAAATTTAATTATTTTTAATAATGTTGAACATTAAGTGACACAATTAAAATAAAAGTACATTCCATTGAGTGCAGAAGGACACGGCCGTGCGCGGAAGAAGAAAGGTGCACAGCGACCCTGAGTCTCGCGACAAAGCCTCTCCTCCCGTGGCTCTTGCCGTTGGCGGAGCTCACTTCCTGGAGTAGGCGGGGCCAGGGGCGGCGGTCACGTGACATAACGGTGAGGGGTGCGCAGGCAGCGTTTGCCCTGAGCCGACCGGTGAGCTTACCGTCATGGCCAACGACTGCAAGCCTGATGGGAACACCGTGCAGGTGCTGCGGGACGTGGCCAACCGCCTGCGAATCCATTCCATCAGGGCCACATGTGCCTCCGGCTCCGGCCACCCCACTTCATGTTGCAGTGCAGCCGAGATCATGTCCGTGCTCTTCTTCCACACCATGAGGTATAAACAGACAGACCCAGGACACCCTGATAACGACCGATTCATCCTCTCGAAGGGCCATGCTGCTCCAATCCTCTATGCCGCTTGGGCAGAGGTGGGCAACATCAGTGAATCTGACTTGCTGAGCTTGAGGAAAATTCACAGTGACTTGGAGGGACATCCCACCCCAAGAGTGCTGTTTGTTGATGTGGCAACAGGATCACTTGGGCAAGGATTAGGTGCCGCGTGTGGAATGGCTTATACTGGCAAGTACTTCGACAAGGCCAGCTACCGGGTGTTCTGCCTCATAGGGGATGGCGAATCTTCAGAAGGCTCTGTCTGGGAGGCCTTGGCCTTTGCTTCGCACTACAATTTAGACAATCTCGTGGCAGTCTTCGACGTGAACCGCTTAGGACAAAGTGGAGCCACGCCTCTTGAGCACTGCACAGACATCTATCAGAATCGCTGTGAAGTCTTTGGGTGGAATAGTTACCTAGTGGATGGCCATGATGTGGAGGCATTATGCCAAGCATTTTGGCAAGCGGCTCAAGTGAAGAACAAGCCCACTGCCATAGTTGCAAAGACCTTCAAGGGCCGGGGTATTCCAGATATTGAGGATGCAGAAAATTGGCATGGAAAGCCGATGCCAAAAGAAAGAGTAGATACAATCATCAAATTAATTGAGAGTCAGATACAGACCAACAGGAATCTCATACCAAAACCTCCCATTGAAGACTCACCTCAAATCAGCATCAGCAATATAAAAATGACCTGTCTGCCTGAATATATAGTTGGTGACACGATAGCTACCAGGAAAGCATGTGGTTTGGCTTTGGCAAAACTGGGCCATGCAAATGAAAGAGTTATTGTCCTGGATGGTGACACAAAAAACGCCACCTTTTCTGAGATATTCAATAAAGAGCACCCTGAGCATTTTATTGAGTGTTTTATTGCTGAGCAAAACATGGTGAGTGTGGCACTAGGCTGTGCCACACGTGGTCGAACCATTGCTTTTGTTAGTACCTTTGCTGCCTTTTTGGCCAGAGCATTCGATCAGATAAGGATGGGAGCCGTATCTCAAACCAATATCAATCTTATTGGTTCCCACTGTGGGGTATCCATTGGTGACGATGGACCCTCCCAGGTGGCCCTGGAGGATCTAGCCATGTTCCGAAGTATTCCCAACTGTACCGTTTTCTATCCAAGTGATGCCATCTCAACAGAGTATGCTGTTTATCTGGCTGCCAATACCAAAGGAATGTGCTTCATTCGGACCAGCCAACCAGAAACTGCAGTTATTTATACCCCACAAGAAAATTTTGAGATTGGGCAGGCCAAGGTCATCCGCCAGAGTGTCAATGACAAAGTCACAGTTATTGGAGCTGGAGTTACTCTGCATGAAGCCTTAGCAGCTGCTGACAGTCTTTCTCAACAAGGTATTTCTATCCGTGTCATTGACCCATTTACCATTAAACCCCTGGATGCTGCCAACATCATCTCCAATGCAAGAGCTACAGGTGGCCGGGTTATCACAGTGGAGGATCACTACCGGGAAGGTGGCATTGGAGAAGCTGTATGTGCAGCTGTCTCTAGAGAGCCTGACATCCTTGTTCATCAGCTGGCAGTGTCAGAAGTGCCTCAAAGTGGAAAACCTGGTGAATTGCTGGATAACTTTGGTATCAGTGCCAGACACATCATAGCAGCTGTGAAAAATACTTTAATGAACTAAAATAGCTCACTTCTTAGAGTTAGTCTGTTGGCTGGCTTTGCTTTGATCTTAAAACACGGCATCTTTATATTACATTCATGATTGTTGTTACTAAACCATCATTTATATCTATGCCATTGTGGTTTTTTTAAGAGAGAGACATTAATCTGTCACTGTGTATACAGATGTTGCTCTTATTTTTTAATCATTAAAGTAGCTTATAACATTTTGGGTAACAGGAATAGCAAACAAAACAACCACCTCAAACAAAGTTTTCTGGAAGACTACAAATAACTGCACTGAGAATCAACATAGAGGTAATAGTTTCGCAAATGTATGTAATTTCCTTGTAAGTAAAAAGAAAAAAAAAAAAGAATTTAATTGTACACTTCAATAGTCCAGGTTCTGAGGCAAGTTCCAGCTTTCATGGAATGCTATTGTACCTGCAGCTTCCTGGATAATGTTTGACTGCAATTGCCTTAAAATTTCCTCTGATGTCTGCCTCATCTCTCCTCTACCATTTAGAAGCTGTTGAGCAGCACTAAACGTGTATATGATGTACTGGACGGCATGTGGTGACTGTTCCATAAAGAGATGAAAGCATAACTAGTTTTCGTTTGTGTCCTACACTGTTCTGTGAGGTTTTAGAAATGTTTCCTTTTGTCAGTGACCAAACCAGACTGCTAACTTGATTATACTCATGTAAGGATACTGACATCAATGTAATAAAGCATTGAAAAACTATCAGCTTTATTTAGTTTGTGCCATGCATGTATGATTTGGCTTCTCCTTGATATTGTGTCTAAATCAGAAGCAGAAAGAGGCGTGTCCCCCCACGGAAATCCTGGAAAAAGGTCCAAGCTCTAGGTAAATCACTAGAGAATAATGTGTGGGCGGAAAAACATCTCTGAAGCAGGCTCCTTACTTTTAGCTGTGAAAACATAAATTATTTGGCTGGAATATAAGAAAAAAGTGCCAATCAGATAAACTGAAGGGAAACCTGAGGTCCAAAACTAAATGTAAAATTACTCTGGTATATCAGATTAATTCTGTATTTTTATTGCTTTCATTAAGTGCCCTTATTAAGTTCCTTGGAGGTATCACCAATTTGTGTCAGGAATTGTTCTAGAAGGTATGGTAGAGATAAAAAAAATACTAACCTAGGAAGCAGAGAGATCTGGGGCTGCTCATTTTACTAGTGCCTTTTTTCTTTGATCGTGTTCTAGTTTCTTCTTTTGAAAATTGATCGTGATAATTACTCTATTTCATAAGATTTAAAAATTACTTTGTAAAAATAAAAAGTTGCTATAGGACCACTGCGGAAATTTAGAAACTACAAATAAGGAAAAAAAAAAAAAATCCCTCACTTATCACCAAAACCCAAATCCATTTCATTGCACTTCTCATCTGGGATCTATAACTGAATCTTCCATATAGTCATTCCCATATAGTAACATCAATCAAATATTACATGTATCTATGAGTGGGGTACTGAATAATAGTCTCCATCCCTAATTTTTTCAAAGTTTAGGGATAACACTGATGCAGACACACAATAAAATAAATTGCTAATGCAAAATTACTTGTTATAATTTGCACATACTGGGAAGGAGCTTCAGCTTTTAGGGCTTAAACATAACTGTGGGATGAAAAATGATCTGTTTCCAACCCTACATGCATAAACACACCTTTAAAAATGACAATAGATCAGGGGTTTTTGTGGGTTTTTTGCTTTTTTTGGTTTTGTTTTGTTTTGTTTTATAATGACTAATGGGATCTTTGAGACTACCAGAAATATTTTTTTATAGGAAGGCAGGGAAACCTTTATGAATAGTTCCTGCAAATGTTCTGTCCCACAAGGCATCAATTAGTGGCCATCAGCTCTAGAGAGAATATATAGGAGATGAAACTTCTTATTTCATGTCTACAATTTTTCAGGTAAAATTAAATCAAATCCAGTTTTGTTACGCTGAATGTGTTCCAGCCTTGAATCTGTCCCGAGATCTTCTTTTTCTTAAGGTTTTATTTTATTTTTTTTTAATTTTTTTTTCAACGTTTATTTATTTTGGGGACAGAGAGAGACAGAGCATGAATGGGGGAGGGGCAGAGAGAGAGGGAGACACAGAATCGGAAACAGGCTCCAGGCTCCGAGCCATCAGCCCAGAGCCTGACGCGGGGCTCGAACTCACAGACCGCGAGATCGTGACCTGGCTGAAGTCGGACGCTTAACCGACTGCGCCACCCAGGCGCCCCAGTTAAGGTTTTATTTTTAAGTAATCTCGATACCCAATGTGAGGCTCGAACTCACAACCCCAAGATGAAGAGTCACATGCTCTCCCAACTCAGCCAGCCAGGTGGCCCTATCCTGAGGTCTATTAAGTCTCCATGGAAATCTTAGTAGAGAATAGTCCTAACTGATGCTAACCCTTGACTGCTAACGCTTGTGAAGATTCAGTTTTGATTTTGATCAACACCATGATCATTGGCTTACCTCTGGTCTACTATTTGTTGATTCGCCTAGAAAAAGGTCTTTTAGATTTAAGAGAGCCAACTGCCATTCCAGGGACAGCTGGGACTGCCAACAGCTGCCTTGCTTATGGTTGTGCTAGAGAAGGCCTGCCGGCAGTCCTTCTTACAGATAGTAAAAGAAGAAATCAGAAGGTTAAATTTTTAAATACAGCAATGGCTCTTAAGCACCTAGGAGTTTTAAAAAAAAATTTTTAACGTCTATTTATTTTTGAGACAGAGAGAGACAGAGCATGAACGGGGGAGGGTCAGAGAGAGGGAGACACAGAATCTGAAACAGGCTCCAGGCTCTGAGCTGTCAGCACAGAGCCCGACATGGGGCTCGAACTCACGGACCCCGAGATCATGACCTGAGCTGAAGCCGGATGCTTAACCGACCGAGCCACCCAGGTGCCCCAGCACCTAGGAGTTTAATTGAGGGTTCCTTTTGGGGAAAGAATAGTTTTCTAAAGAAAAAGTAAAAGGGTCGATGTTTCTGATTTTTAAGTCATAATAATATGAGGTACTGGCTGATATTTAGTTATCCATGTTTACTGAACTGTACAGGAATTACTACATTCTACAGGGCTCAATCAGAGAAGGTCTGGTTTTGGGGAGTTGAGAAGTATTGGTGGCCATTACTATTGTGATACATAAAGGAGGTCCTGAAATATTACTGTGATGGGGGAAGATGTTTTAATAAGTGAAAATGACTGAAAGTGTTATGAAATTAGTTAGAGACAGCATGAAAAGTGCTTACTTATAATGGAAAGAGACAAAGGGTGTTTCAAAAGAATACAGATGAGAGGCACATGGGTGGCTCAGTCAGTGAAGCATTAGACTCTTGATTTCGACTCAGGTCGTGACCTCAAAATTATGGGTTTGAGCCCCACGTCAGGGTCCACACTGACAGTGTGCAGCCTGCTTGGGATTCTCTCTGTCTCTTCCTCACTCTCTGCCCTTTCCCTCTTCGCGCACACACCCACTCTCTCTCTCAAAATAAGTAAATAAATAAAAAGAATATAGACAACAGTTAATGAAAAAATAAAACCATTTTATGATTATATACACAAGAGTTGAGTCACTTTAATCAAACCAGTTATAAGAAGAAACATAATTCTTAATATTTTTATATAATATAAATTTAATATAATATTTAAATATGTTTATATCACACACATTGAATGAAAAGATTTATGATTAAATTCAAAAAAAAATTATTTTTGTTTCCCTCTATCCCTTTTAAAAGTGTTGAGTCTGGGTAAATTCACTGTGACTCACTGAATGGAAAGTTTGACAGATCCCATGACATCCCTGTCCACATTTAGGTATCATCATTTTAAATCATAAAAATCCAATCAGGATTCAGTGATTAAAATATATCATATATATATATATACTTATTAAGCAATGCTTCCATTTTCTTTTGCTTCATTTCACCCAAACAAAGGGCCATAGTTAGCAGCTGCTCACTCTCAGTGAAAGGCGGGTTGTTGTCTTTGCTTGGTTTCCTTTCCCCTGTTCTTTCTCCCAGCCTTGTCAACTGCTAGCTAGAGTTTTAGGCCAGAAAAGAGGTAAGAGGAGAAGTGGCTCTTACTTGGCTGGAAGGTTGTGTTTGCAGAGTTTGGAAAGTGGTTAAGGCTGACGATGCAGCTTTGTACATGTACCTTTATTTCACGTGTGCAAGTATTCTGAAATTTAGACAACCTTATCTCTATGTCATAAGTTGGAATAAATGCAAGCCATTAAACCAAAATCCAACAAATACACATTTATTTACAAGAAGGCAAAAAAACAGTCACACAGTGTGTTGTTGTAAGCTCTCTATTGTAAGGCAGTGTTACAAGCCCACTGGATAAATGTTTGCTCCAAGTTGGGCATGAGTAAGAGTGAAGTTCTAAATATTTAACAGCCAGCATAGTCTGGGCACCTACTGCTAAGAATGAATATGGAGCTAATCAGAAGATACCCTGCCAGAAGGACTATACTGTAAAGTGTACTGATGATCAGCTCTGGAACCAATTATATTCCAAAAGGAGAAATAGCCATCATTTAGTTGGATCAGGAGTACCCTGTGAAGTGGAAGACACAGAGCTCTAGATGTGGAGTGTTGTTCCTCCGAAAGATAGATGGCTGACTTTTCCAGATCCTTATATCTCATACCTTCAAAGGGAGAGCATATGCATAAAATTTATGGTCAAGCCCATTATCTTAAATACAATGTATTTCACCAATGAAAAGTTATTTGAATAACCATATGTTATTAACAAATGGATTGTGGTATGGATTATGCATTAGTGTACTTCAAAAGCAAACTAAGCATCCCACACATGTAGGTGAAAATAAGTGGACACACACACATATGGACATATACATTCACATGTGTGTGTACATCACACTATTTATACTAATGTGTTCAAAAGAAAGTCACTCCATGAATGATAAATTCTACTATATTCTTATCTCACAGATGAGAAAGCTAAAGTGGAGAGAGCTTATGTTTGCATAACTTGCCC